TTGGAGTGAGAATAAGTATTGAAGTGGATTCATAAGTATCTATTTGAGGAGAATCAGATGAATTTAGAACAGAACTGATAGGAGAGTTAACATCAGTAGAAATGGAGTCATTACAAGAATTTGGAACTGATATATCAGGTGATGAATAATTACTTTGGACTGGCAAAAGAGATGGATCAAATGGCAAGCAGACGTTAGATTTTGATAAAGAGGCTAGGAATTTAGGATGATGAAATGGAAAAATATTCTCATAAAATTTAACATCTCTAGAGGCAAAGACAAAGTTGTTAAGTAGATTATACAATTTAAAAGCTTTCATGCCATAGGGGTAACCAATAAAGATACATGGCACAGCTCTAGGGTCAAATTTGGTACGATTTCTTTTGAGGCTTGAAGCATAACAAAGGCATCCAAACACCTTGAGATGAAGCATTTCATAAGGTGTCTTATTCTAAAGGACAAGAGTAGGAGTTCTGTTGATTAAATGTGTTGCTGCAAGGATGGTTTCCCCTTAAAACTTGTGAGGCAAATTGGTTTGGAACTTGACAGCTCTAGCTATGTTTAGAAAGTGTTGGTGTTTTCTCTCTACCACTTCATTTTGCCGAGGTGTTTCAACACAGCTGAGTTGGTGAAGAATGCCATTAGACTGGAAAAAATTATTCATATGGAATTCAGATCCATTATCAGACATGAGAATTTTTATTTTGCAGTCAAACCGAGTTTGAATCATATGATAGAAGTAGTGAATGATGGATTTAGTTTGAGATTTTTCTCTCATTAGGTAAGTCCAAGTCATTCTAGTAAGTTCATCAACAATGGTTAAGAAGAATCTAGAGTCATCCAATGAGGAGACTGAATATGGGCCCCATATGTCACAATAGATTATATCAAATCTTTTGGAGGCTCAAGTTTTACTAACATGAAAAGTTAGCTTGCATTGTTTAATTGTGGGACAAACAGTGCAATGTAATTTCTTATTGAATGTAATGGTAGAAACTAAATTATGTAAAACGGATAGTTTGGAAATAGGGAGATGCCCTATGTGACAATGCCATAGGTCTCAGTCTTTACATTGAAATTGCTTATGGAATTACAAGTAGAATGTCTCGCTTTATTACATAGTAGACTAAGATCAGACTTGCAATTGGAATTAGGGAAAGTAGAAATGTTATTATCAGAAATAGCAGTGGACTGAGAATCAGAATGAAGGCATTTGAATGAAAGTTTGTTATGAAGCTGCTGAGCCGGATTTTGGAAAGCATACAGTCCATCTTCAAGTTTGCCCACTTCAATCATCCTCCATGTTAAAAGATCCTGGACAAAACAATATTGATGTAAAATTATCAAGAAGTAATTCTGCTTAAGAGTCAATTTGCTAGCTGAAATCAAATTGAATTTGAAGCAAGGCACCACCTACACTTCTGTTAAAACCAATGTATCAGACAATTTGACTGTTCCAATATGTGTAGCTTCAACAATGTTTCCATTAGGCAACTTAACAGCTACTTTAACTTTATGAGATATCGTGGTTAAATGCCAAATAGAACATACCATAGCTCTTAAGCACCAGTATCCATAATCTATTTTGCTGTGCCAAGTTTAGTATTAAAATAAGAGTGATTGCCTGAAAAGGCAAAGGCATCTGGCCCAGAATAACTAGTGGATAGTGTGTCCTAAGGTTGTGATTGTGTCTGTGTTTGAGTAGCATCAGACATTTGCCCCTTTAGCTGAGGCATCAACATTGCCAGAATTTGCTTACACTAATCTGGAGGTTCGAGAGGGATTCCATAATACCAGGCTGATTACCTTTAGAAGATTGTCAAACAGCATTAGCAACTACAGTTTTGCCTTTAGTAAAATGATGTCCAGGAGGATATCCAACAAGCTTATAGCATTTTGCTTTAATATGTCCAAGCATCCCACAGTAACTATAAATAGGCCTTCCTTTCTCTGATTTTGAATGAATCTAACATTTCTCTCAGTTCTATTAGATCATTGTATAGCATTATTAGAAAATGCAGGTGGCTCAAAGCTCTGTTGCCTTTTAATAACAACTTCTTTTTGTCTTTCATCTTGCAAAATAAGCGCAAAAACCTGTTAAGTAGAGGCAGAGGATCCATCAACAAGATTTGACTTCTAATTGCAAAATAATGTTCACTAGCTTCATTAGAAATTGAATAACTTGATCTTCCTGCTTGTAATCAGATCCACTGATATTCGGTCTATAGTTATCAAGCTCCTCCAACAATCCTCTGAATCGATTGAAGTAGGAATTAACTGAGCTATTTTCCTGTGAAATGGTGGAGATCTGCTTATTCAATTCATAAATCCTAGGACCATTACCTTGACTATAACGATCCTTCAATTCAATTTATTTCTCTCTAGCTGAATCCTTATACATCACACTTGGATAGAGCTCCTTGGGAATGGAATTAATAATCCACGATGAGACTACATGATTGCATCTCCTCCAGGCGCTATACATCAGATCACCAGCACTCGGTTCAGTTATAGTTTCATCAATGAATCCTTCTTTATTCTTCATACTGAGAGCTATAACAACAGTGCGACTCAATGTCGCATAATTGTCCTCTGTAAGAATCACTACATGAGCTGCATACCAGTGTTATCACCATAATGAAGATAGCAGGGACTGCCTAGATCTGTTATCAGTCGACTGGTAACTGAATTAGCTTCATCTCCGATCAAATCTCCAACTGAAGATCCTTGTGATACCATCACAGTAAAGCTTCACTGCTCTAATACAATGTGAAAGATTGAAAGAGAGAGAGATGGAGAAGAAGATAAAATGGAGAGAAATCTGTTAATTCCCAATTGAATGGAAACGGAAGGAAGGTGCTATACAATATACTGAAAATGAAAGAAATGAAAATAACTAAAATAGCCTCATACAATTTACAAATTCTCTAATAGTATCAGAGGGGCTTACTGTTTCTTGATAGAAACATATTTATTCAAGTCTTTGATCTTCACAAGAGGGGAGAGAAGTTATTAGAGAATAGAAAACCTAGAATATAAGCCAAACCAGAAATTCATGAATCAAAGCTGACCATTGATTGCTTCTTCTCATTCACCATCTTTTGTGTGGCAGGATCATTTCTATACTCCAAATCCTTTAACTCTCTGTCAAAACTCTTTAATAAGTCTGCAAAAAGGAGGGCAATATCGTTGCATTTATATCATATTGGTATAAATATATAAATGCTGCATCACGCATAGCATTCTTTTTGGGCAGTTTTCTGTGTTGTTAGTTAAAATAAGTCACCTATTTTTTTATTTACAAGCTTAATGATAACTCGTCCATCCTCTCCAGAATCATTTATATTTTTGTTTAATGACTTATTTCAATTTTTTCATAATAACTTTCGGAATGTTTGTTTCCTAAGTAAAAAAACACATTAATATGCCCATAACCATCCTTAGTAGGGCTGTAAGCAAAAATCGACAAACCGGAAAATCGAACCGAAACCGCAATTTCGAAATGGTTTTGAACCACGTGGACCCGTTAACGAAATAGTTTTGAACTAAAACAAACCGGTCAAAAACGGTTTGGTTTAGATTTGTGAATTTTAATTACGGTTTAAAACCAAACCGGACTGACGAAAAAATATATAAAATAAAAAATTGAATTTTTTTGAAAATTTATCCAAAATCACAATTTTGTAAATTCAATAATTTTGTCATTTTGTTGGTATTTTTATCAATTTCTAATTTCCTATTAGTTATTACGATTT